ATCATATATATGAAAGGTCATTTGATATATAATAAGAAAGACGTCATTGGGGTTAATGCCACAGTTCTGCCACCCTTTAACAATATTGATTTCTCATCAATATTTCAGATTCAGAATCCCTCTTGGATCGGTGGCAGCAGTGCAGCATCTCCCGTGCCAGGCTGTGTTGTGCCCTGCGACACTGTGACTCCCTGTATGACACCTCACCCCCACTCTGCCAGCGGGGTGTCCGATTTTCTGGGCGTGCCGAGCCCTGGAGGTCATATGGGACAGGCTCACATGGGCAGCCTGTTTGGTGGATCTCCTGGCATGCCCACAGGCATCAACACGTACGATCTCAACATGGACCCTGACCGCAAGTCCTCCAGTATCGCCGCTTTGCGCATGAAAGCCAAAGAGCACAGTGCAGCCATATCTTGGGCCACATGATGTGTTGATACCTGCTGGATGGGGGGACCTTGTTCACCCATGAAATGTCTACACAAACCCAGCATGGGGTGAGGGGGCACTAAAATTGAAAACTCTAAAGGCAACAGTGACTACCTTCATAAATGTTGCAATAAAATAATTATGCAAATACAAGGATGGGTGAAGATTACTCAAAGAGAAAACAAGATATTTGATAGGTGACGTGGCACTGCCATGTTTCTCAACCCCTCTGGGGGGAGAAAGCAACCACAGTGGGAGGGTGAGCTTTTGTGGAAAGCCTGGTGGGAGATGATGCTGTACTGTATAACAGGAGTTGCAGTGTAGTACTGATGATAGGCGAAGGAAAACGTTAGGAAAAGTTTAATATTTTCAAACAAATCCATGCACTTATTTGCTCAAATACAGGAAATTCTGTTTGTACAGTGCTTTCAGTGTCATTGTAGTTCTCTGTTCAGGGGCTGTATTCCTACCTTATTATTTAAATTTTGAGTGTTATTGTTTTTTCCCTTCAGTCATTTTGTTATGCAAGCATCCTTAAAAAACTGAAATTAAAGTTTAGTTGTTATATATGCCATGTACATATTATTCTAAGGCAATCTTTATCAGCATTAGCACATGCAAAAAGGTGTAACTTAAGTCACGCTGTTGCTATGATAATGCTATAGAAAACTGTTTATATCTGTCACATTATGAAGCTTCTCAGATTCAACACAAACATTTCAGTTGCTAAAAAGGTCAGAAGTGGTTCTGCCCTCCAGCATTTAAAAGTCAAACAGATGAAATGTGGTTTGTTTTAGTGCGGTCAGGGTGAGAGATCCACCTGCCGCACTGACTCAGCCTGCTGATGGCCAGCGAGAGGAAGGGATGGAGGAGGAAGTGGTGTGTGGGAGTATGAGAGGGGCACAGCAGGCCTGCTGCTCTCAGGGCTGAAGAGCCTGGGAGCGCCAGCCTCCAAACAGACCCAGCTCTGTTTTCAGGAGGACAGACTCCAAGTGGACATGACTGTGCCCCTTGCATTTCCAGTCTCAGGAGTTTCAGAGAGAGAAGTGCCTACTAGCCAGTCATTCTGCCAGAAATAACAACGAAACCAGCAGCAGCCACCTTTGAAACAGAGGAGGCTGGTGGAGATTACACAGAGTGTGTTGACACTTTTAAACACTGAAAGGATGTCAGTGTTCAACAGCGTTTTTCTGGACTTTAACGCAGCTGTATTTGGCTGTTGTAGAATGGCGAATGGTCATGAAGCAGTGCTGGCAATTGTTATTGTATTTCTTTCTCTACTTTTCCGTTATTTCGTTATTTCTGTCAAAACCAAATGAAGAAGCCATCGACAAGATTACCGCAGAGTTACCTCTACTGTCTTCAGTAAGGTTTTTAATTACATCTCAGCTCGATGTGGCACCTTGAAACACTCAGCACAGGCTTGAGTAAATATCATCTTCATCCTCCAGCTATAGACACCTTGAAGTCCTATTTCACCACAAACAGCATGTCTCTGTTCATCACATACACATCTAACAAATCTTTTAAATGAGGATGGAAGACAGTATTTAATTTTAGTGAGTGAGGCAACAGGTAGAGTCGAAGGGATTTCTGTGGGAATGATGGTATGGCTGAGGTACTAGCAGAGACTTTACCAGAGATCCAAACTCCTAGATTCTCTGTGTGTTGGGTGTTTTTTTGGTAATTGGATTACTTGCAAATTTGTTTGTGAATTTGCACTGCTTAAGTGCAATATCAACTGGGTCCTGCATTATTGTGGCTTTATCTTGTACAGAGAGGCCATGTATGAAAGTCTAGTTCTAAAACCAGAATTATTTTAATTTATATTGTCCTCACATGGCGTATGATCTTACATAAAGTGGTGTTTAAACAAATGACTTGACATACAGAAAACCTGGGATCTACTGAACTGTAGTATTCCAGTGTAGGTGCACTGGTTGGTTTTGGGGTCTCTGGGTAAGCAACATGGGCCCAACAGCAAACATATCAATCCTGCCATGGTTACAGATTCAAATAGTCAAAAAGGTTAGTGTGTAGAGTAATAGAAGACGCCATAACTACGCAGGTACTGTCCCAAAGTTTGGGGGTGTGGATCAAGTCTGAAGTTTGAGCCCAGCTTCATTCGTTTTTTTGGCATTACATCTGAGCAGGACCTGTTTTAGTAAAACCACTAAATTGTCAGGGTAAAGCGCCAAAAGGAGTTGTGTTCCTTGTCTCCACTCTGATTACTCCCTGTTTACTTCTATCTAGGTTTGGAACAATAAGTCCAAGTTTGTTTTTGTTTCTCTGTGGAAAGAGACAGAAGAGGGACAGCAACGTAGAGGTTAAATTGAGCTGGAACCAGCCAGAGATGAGATCTCTCAGAGCCCAAATCATATCCATATATCCATATGCTCGTATCATTCAAATATTTAAATAGTGAACTTTGTTTTTCCCCTGGTAACTGCCAGTGACATAAATAGCAGATGAGGGTTCAACAATGAGGTTATGCATGTTCTTCCTTTGTTTCCAAGGCCTGATTTAGGCCTTAAGCATAACAAAGGCTTTTATGGTTTTGAAAAGCAAACCTGATACCTTGTTGTACACCTTCAGGCAGAGCAACCATTGCTAATTCTCTAAACTGAACCACATTCACTGTCCTTCTGGGCAGGTAAGAGAATCGGGGTGCAGGCTATGACCTGTCAGTGGAGCAGATCTCCCTGGAGTCCTCCAAATTACATCCAGTTTTAGTCTCCGGCCCAAATCTAAGGCGTACGCATAATCCTGATTATAGAGTGCGTATCTCAAAACTGAAAGGGTCTCCTTGTAAATGTGGACATGGGCCCCCCTGTGCTCTAGCTGTGGGGTTGGACGGAGGGCGAGCCGTGAGGGCGTCTGCTGTGTTCCGGTGTTCTGGGAAAAGGACAGTGCACACAGCTGCGCTCAGGGGGTAAATGCAAAACAAACATGCCTCACACATGCTTCCCCCTCAGCTGTCATGGCTCTGCTTTCAAAGATCCCCCCCCCCCCCNNCCCCCCCCCATGACCCACCTCTATACACACATACGCATTGCACTGCGCCTCTCCCTTCGCTCACTTCCACTATATCCACTGGCTGAAAGCAGCAGCCCCCCCATCGCAGGGTCCGAGGCACAGCCGCACGGCCAACCCAGGCAGGCTTTTTAATTAACACTGAGCCATGTGGAGGCTGTGGATTGCAGTATTGTGTGTCAGGACAGACAGGACTGTCTGTCTTCTAGTTGGTTTAATGTAGACTGTTCCTCTGCACAGTGCACACAGACGTACTGGCATTCAGTAGCTCAGGTTTACACAAAACATACGCATTGTTTTCACTATTTTCTGTGTATTTAACGTTCATCATTCTTTGAAACATCTCCAGTGATGCCCTACAATCTCATAAGAACTGTAAATGCAAGATTAGCTTAACATAAAAAGCCTCTTCTCTTCTGTATGCTGCATAACTCCATCCCTGAGTGATGAAACCATCATCCACTTTTCTCATTTTCTAATACTACTGAAGTCAGGCAATCAGTATAGGAGTAGATATATGATAAATATGTGTGCTGTTGTGTGCATGCAAATGGATTTAAGTGTTATAAGACTCTTGGAAATATTACTAATTAGATTTTGTGTTTTATTTTGTGAGACAATTTATCGAGTATTTGAGTGTATGACATTTTTTAATTTGGTGTTACATGGCAAAACTGTATTTCCAGAGTTGTGTTTGAACATTGTTTTTCTCTCAATATGTAATTCTTGCAAGTTTCAAAAGATTTTTTTTTTCAGTTTTTGTGGCTTTAAGCTGTCTTTTGAAATGAGTGTATGAATTTACTAATGCTTGTTACGTTTTGCGTGTGATTAAAGTACAATAAGTTATTGCACTTCTATTCAGAATCAGTGTTTGTCATTTAGTTTGTTATGAAATATAGTACATGACTGACAATGTTTATACAGCAAAAGCCACAGTATATAGAGGATAGAATTTCTTGCAAGGTAATGGTGGTTCCCTGAAACCACTGTTTCCACACACTACAGAGAAAAATCAAGACAACTATTCTCTGATTTGTATTTAGAGGTCACTCAAGTCACTCGCAGTTTGAAGACAAGCCTTTTCAAGTCATCGACTAACATATATGGTTGGCCACAACTTGTGAATAAGTTGTCTGCTGATAAGAACCAATGAATGTGCAGTGTTATTGCTTTGCACCACCCTGCCAAAATATTGTGTCATCCCTGTAGTCACATTCTGAAATCCCCACGCATTTCAGTCCCTTTGAAGGGACTTGAGTGCTGAAATGAGATCGCACAACCCGCAAGAGTATCACAGTAATTGAAGTTGACAAAAATACGAACTGCGCCCTTTTGAACTGCTGACATTGAACAGGGTGGATTAGGCAGCGTATATTAACAACAGGTGACAGGCTGGAGGGAACAGTGGATCGTCCGTGTCACGGAGGGTCTGCTCTGAACGTTTTGAGGTTTGAGTTTGGAATAAAGACAGACATGAAAAAGTCTTATTTCATCCTCTTCCCACCTCACTTGCACATAAATGGAAAGAACACTAAAACTGTGAGATATTAGTGTGATCTTTACTTGTGCATTACAAAGTCATATATACACTTAGATACATAAACAGTCAAAAAATTTAAAACAATTTCACTGACCTTATGAAAATAAAAATAAAAAAGGCAAATAAAAACATAACAAGGTAATGTTAACATTTTACAGACTGTGCTGCGCTTAATGTTAAAGCCTAAATACTGGAGCTGGGACACGTTGTGATAAAAAGGATAAAAATATAAAAACGTACACAACAGGTTTAATGGAAGAATAAAAAACAAAGCATTGCATCAACAACTTATACACATCCGTTCTCAATAGGGTGTATTTGGATATTCTCTCTTCACTATATAGTATGTCTTCATTGCATTGCATTGTTCATACACACAACTAATGAAACTGTTTAGTGAATGCTTCAATTAGCAACCACTGCTTTTCTTATATATTTAAATCAGAAAAGTCTTGCTCAGGCAGTATGAAATTACAATTCAAGATGTTCCAGTAGCTCAGCATCAATATTTTAAAATCAGCAGTTATTCACTCTAAATATCAGATTTATGGTACCAGCTTGGCCCAATCTGATTGTGTAAAACAGACCGTATGTGAAACATTTATTGTACATTATCTGTTAGCCACCATGCTGTGTGCGCTCATCACATTCAATTAACCACTGGATAAAGCCTACATAGATATGTCATTTAATTATTTACTATATATCATGTAAATTAAACATTTATTACTTTTCCTTTACAGTACGGCTAAAAGAATCAGGTCCATGTCAGCTTTTGAAAGAAGAAGAAAATAACTAGTTGGAGCATCATAAATTATGACTACTATACAGCACTGCTGCAAAATACAAATATATATACACTGTATACACCGATTCCAGAGCAGCTGGAGCCCAAAGCTTCCAGCTCCAAAACAGTAACAGTGAGGGACTGCGAGCATCTAATCAATCAGCCTGTCCATCAAATATCACACTCAGGGTGTCCAAAAGAAGTTCATGTAACATTAGTCTAGGCATTAGGACTGCTAAACCTTTATAATAATATCTTTTACTTCAGACACAAAAATCACACTTTCCTAGATTTCAGTGTCACCTGTCATTCAAGATGTTAACTTAATGTCCTGTACAATTTCGTGTTTAAAATGTAAAAATCAAAGCAAGTCACTTGAACTGAGAAGTGACAGGAGCATGAACCGCTTTAGTCTGAATATTGACGTCTTGATATAAAAGACGATGTTGGTGATAAATCTTGAAGTGTTGAGGCTGTGACGAGGTCCAAACATCTGTTACCGGATGGTCAGAGGCTGCCGATGTTGGGGAAGCTCTTGAGCTTCTCTGGAAAGTCGTCTTTGTAGAGCACTGGGTCTGCACGGTGTTCCACCACCTTCAGAGGCATCGTACCAAAAACTGAAGCAAACTTGTTGATGCACTCAGATCTAGGGATGAAAACATTTACTTTAAAAACAGGCTAAAAATGTAGAACAAGCACGCAAAAATGCTGACAGAAGAAGTCAAAAAACAAACAAAAACATTTCTACGGTGCTCATTTCATCAAGATTTCCAAAACAAAGTGCCATACCTCTCCACCATGTGTGTCTGATCCAGGGACAGTCCATCAATGGCAGTACACTCAGGGCACTTGAACTTTTTCCTGGGGGTCACCTAAAAAGAAGCAGAACAAAGTCACACCAGTTCAACTACACTACATCCTACTAGAACTTTTGTCAAGCACAGCGTGGGGAAAACATTTCTGAATTCTCATCAGTGGAGTTGGAGAGAGATGAAGTATGGCTTTCCTCTGTCTAACCTCCATCACATCGACACCCCTGACACATGCCTGTACCACATGCTCTGAACCTGTGAATGTATCTGTGTGTAGAAGAAAGTGAGAGACACAGAGAGGAAGACAGACAAGACTGGTTGGAGAGGGTGAGTGTTTTCTGAAGGAACCTGTGGGAGATGTGCTGGGAGGTGGGAGTGCGGGTGCAGGCGTAAGGAAGTGTGCAGCTTGTGATTTGTTGGCAGGGTGTGCGTGAGCCCCGGTGAGCTTAGGAAAACATACTCCAAGGGGGAGTGCCAGTGAGTGACACCCTGATAAGGGAGGTTAAGGCCGAGCTTTAGCTCGGGCCCCCGCACCTGGGCACAGTCAGTGTGATGGGGAGGGGGGGAGAGGCAGAGAAGCCGAAGGGTGAGAGCTGATCAAACCCAGAAATGCTGGTGTGCTCTGTCAGGCTTCAGCCTCCCCCTGCGAGCTTAAAGCACCCAGGTCAGTCAGGGCTATGAATGTACCTTTATGGGGGCTTTGCCTGTGATGTTAGCCACCAGGAAGTTCATGGCAATATCTTCACAGTTCATGTGAGCATCCACCCAGTTCTTGATGTCTCCTGGCATCTTGTATGTGTACAAATAGTTGAAGTACTGGAATGGAAACAAATGATTACAAGGTGTCGTATAGATATACTGCAGACACAAATAATGCAGACGCTGTTTGACCCAAGAGTATGTAGGAGGAACCATTGCACTAGAATCTGCTTTGAACTTAAGTGCGTGTGTGAGGTTTAAGTAGAAGTAGAGATAACCTTGCTCTACCTATGGTACTCAGCTCATCTATCACTGTAATCTTCTTGTCTACGCATACCCAAAACAGGTCTACTTGAAATTCTCTAATCCTTTGGGCAAATATTCATTTTTCTATATGATCTCCTGATATAATGGACAATTTCCTTTTCAAATTGGTTCTGTGTGCATCATTACTAAGCAAAAGTTCTAACATCCATGAGTAGCTCTAAGGGACACTGCTTAATTTTAACCAGGCTTTCCCAGGTCACCTTGTGGTAGAAAGCAGCTCCAGTTAGGACCATGGAGACCTCATTGGTCCACTCGGACTCATACTTCCACTTCCCCATTTCATGGTCCCAGAGGTGCAGCCGGCCTGGGTAGCCCACCAGCCTGTCTGGGAACTCCCTCCACACCTGGAGCAGAACAGAAGACAGATTGTCAGACATTTTCAGGTGATTTAAACTAAGGTGAGAACTTTTGGCTTACACTAATGGATGAATGATTAGACAGTATTCAAAAGAATATTTAAGAATTAACAATTTAGTCCTAAGTTTCAAAATACCTTTGAATGTTTCTGTCTGAGCCACAAAAATCAAATTATTTTCAGCAGTATCAGTATCACTTTTCAGTGTCTTTACGATTAGGTGAATATCTCAGGCTTGACACCAGCAGTCAGTCTGATCCTTCTACTGCGAGCTGGAAGTACTGTCATCTAGTCAGACAGGCAGCTCGCCTGTCCTGCTTGCAATTCTATGTAATTATCCTTAAATTGAGCATAATTTTATTAAATAGCTTCTAAATGGATTCAGGTGAGTGTGCCAGGCTAAGTGGGGCCTGGGCAGGTATGTGGGCATGGAAAGCATCAGCCTTAGACCTGTCATCATTCTTCACACATCAAACACATTCAGCAGGCAGTCAAATCCCCAACTAGTGGAGACTGAGACTGTAATCTCCCTGAATGACTTTAAACACTGGGATCAACTTGAAATGGTTCCCTGCAATACCTGCCACCAGAGGAAGGATGAGAAAGTATGTCAAGGTTTTCTGAACGGGGGCTGTTTTTCCCACCTCGTAGCCAAACTGCAGTTCATCAGATGTCAGCATGATGATGTCATCATCAATCGCTAGCACAGCTTCTGTTTCGATCTCGTCGTAGGGGAAGAAGCGATTACTCAGCTTGTTCTCTTTGGTTCGCACGACTTTGAGAGGAACACCGACCTTTGGCCAAAGAGACTCTGCCAAACAAACAATACAACAGCATTGCAACAACATTTCTAGTTCTATACACATAGATATAGAGCTGCAATGATCTTGTAAGTCTATAGAAATTCAGTTAATTAATGATGATTATTTGGGAACTATTTCGATAATGTTAATTAATTAGAATCAAGCAAATTACTTAATAATTAAACATTTTTAATAAAAAACATAAATATAATTGTTAACTGTAGCCCCTTAAATAGATATAGATACATTATGTGGCGTTATCCTTTTTCATACATTTTAACGTGTTGAACATCATTTTATCAGTGTCTAAAGATGGGTGAGGAATTATGATGTCATTTACCACTGACAGAGATATTTGAAGTCTGTCCTGGCAGTGGAAAATAGTGCTCTGGGAGTTTAACTTAACTCACTGACTCGTATCGCTACGCTAACCTCAAGCACGTGCAAATCTAACCACACTACGATTCTTCATGAGGCAGTGTTTTTTTTCAGGGGAGCGTTTCAAAGATCTTGGGCAGTGTCCATGGCACGGACTATGGCACAGACAGATCACATGTGTGAGAATGTGTCCCCTCATTAATGGGGTAAAACTGGGGCCTGGCAGCCTATAAGAAGAGCTCCAGGTCCTCCTAACCACGTCTGAGGTCTCCTGTCAAAAGCTATTGTCAGGAAAAGTGCTATGTTAAACGTCTGGAGTTTCTTCTTTCACTTTGGCCATGTTGCTGTCATCCCTTCTTTTATTTCCAAGGTTGGAAAGAGACAGTAGGAGTGAGGGAATTATAGGTTATTATCTGAATTTTAAAACATTAGCTCCACCTTGGCATGGGTCAAAATGCAGCTACTGGTAATTCTTCTTTGACTTCTTTAACTGTATTCAAGAACGAATTAACCTAAATTCCACATTCTGAAGTTATGGCTTTTATACATGCCTTAATACGTGATCTTCAGACTCAAACAGAAAAAGGCAATAATGCTAGATTGTGTAAAAACATCAAACAAACACATTCAAACAAACAACGCATCTTCTTAAAAAAAAACACAAGAGGAAGCAAAAATAGGAGCCTGTAAACACATCAGATCAAGGGTTGGTGTGAATGGGGAAGAAATCTGCCTTCATATTGGACTGAGCCCCATGAGTCTGACCCGTCAATGGCCCCTTGTTAATTCTAATGGGTCACAAAGCTCCAGCCAGGCGCCGCTGATGCCTCTAATGAAAAGGCAACTCACAGCCACGAGGGAGCACTTCAAAGTCCTCTCATTACTTCATTACATTAGCTAACTCTTACAGCAGCAGGACCGATTTAATTCCTTGTTCAGTACAGTCTGAGTCTGAGTTAAGCCGTCAGTGGGTTAAGGCACGATTAACTGTTGTGTTCTTGATTGCCATATTAAGGGAAATAATTAGAGCTCAAGGTGCAATAAATAACAACTAATACGAGCTTACTATGACACATCTTTGATGGACTACAACTGATGATTAACAGTAATGAAAGACAGTGCAGGCCTGTTGCATTGACTGCATTGGTTTAAGTTAGTTAAATTAGTTAATTTTACCAAATAAACTTGAAACCAAGTGCAACTATATCTTTTGAAAAGCTTCATGAACTTATCTCTTATTTCTGATGATAATCTCTTATACTCACCCTCAGGTGGACTCTTGTTCTGGTTATTCCACACCACCAGCAGCTTAGCCAAGCTAGGCACCTTTGAGATTTCCGTGATGACCCGGAAAAGACTTTCAACGCGATCATAGGTCAGCACCACTGCTGTGAACCCAGGTGCCCTTGGTGGGATAAGTGGCAAGAACAGAGGGCTGTTCACGCTGGTCCACTTCTACACAAGGACGGAAACAAAGAAAAGAATATAGTTTAGGCCACAAACATATTTTTTTATCTTCTTTCATTAATTCATTTTCATTTCCATGAAAAGCTACTGTAGAGCTAGGCTTGTCTTCTGTGTCAACCCGGTCGGTCATGTTTTCCATGATTTAATACACTATAATAGTGCTTCACTGGACAGTGAGGTCACCTGCAGTAATTTCCAGATGATGGTTTTTATTATGGAGCAAAAACCATCCAATAATGTCTCTCAGGGGCTAACAGAAGCAGAGCACAAAGTGCCAAAAGCTTCCAGTCTGAATGCCAAGTAAACACTACAGAAGGACAAGAAAGACGAGGAAGAAGTTTCCAAACAAGACAGGTTGGCTACCCTCTTTTATCTACTGCTCTTGTGATGTTATTATGGCGGGTCTCCTGGGATGTGGGAGAAACAGGGACAGAGAGTAGGAAGCTGCAGAGCAGAGAAAGAGTGGAGTTTGCCAGGCAGTGAATAGTGAATCTATCGTCAATGTGGAACTTGGCTTTTCTTTTCTGTCATTGCTTCCCTTTAAAATGGCTCGTAAACCCTGGGAGCCGCACTGACTTCAGGTTAGATCAAGTGACGTTGTTAAATGCAGGAAGCCACAGGAGAGTTTTCTGATGGTTTGTGTGTGCTAAATACTAAACTTTAAAAGTTGGGACACCAAAAGAAGAGCCAACTGGTGTCAGGGTTGAGTCTTGATAAACTTCATCAAAGCTTCCAAAAATATTCCACCCTGGTTACAGTCACAATCAGTCTAAGAAAGGCAAAGAGAGCGTATCTAACACAGTAAACCTGTGGGCTTCTTGAAGTACATATAAACCCTGTTTCTCTTCTGGTCCCAGGTGGCCACACAGTGATTATGTGGCTCCTTCCATAGCATCAACACAAGTCTGTCAACAGAGACACAGCCACTGCCTTTTACACAACATTAGTCACTCCTCCACCAATAAAAAGTCACTTTACTGGCAAGTGGAAAATTCACTGTGGTCATTCTCACATTGTCAAACAAGTAGGGAGGAAAATAATTAAACTAACACATATACGCTGCAAAGATGCAGTAAAACAGAATAAAAGAGGCAGAGACCACTTAAATCATTTGTAGAACAGAATAAATTAAATTAAAAAGAAAGCCACAGCTCAACATGTCACCAACAGATCTGAAGGAGTAAATACTTTATATTTGCACTTAAAAAGAAGAATCTTATCTGGTTATTTGAAGTGCTTGAATGGTTTTTCATTCATCTTACACACTTGGACTCTCAAACATATGTAGATTAAGATAAAATGAAGAAGTATTTAAAATGCCTTCAAATACAGAACATAGAAGTATATTAACATGATGAGAAATGGCGTCTGAACCACGCAGGAGCCCTGAGATCTGGCTAAAATAGGTTATTATTTTTAGTCAAATAATGCATGATGCAGTTTTATGGCTAGTAAAAAAATACTTTTTACTTTTCTCAGTTGACCTGCCATTGGTAGATAAGCCAATAAGTGAATTTTGGACCCTGGGTAGATTAATCTACTCTTTCAGTTTATTACTAAATGATGCAAACAATAATGGTGCAACAAAAAATAAAGAACAATTCATTGGTATTAGGATAGTGACGTGTTACTTCAGCCAAGACTGTATTGTAATTTTAAAACAAGATAGATCACATAAGACTTTCATATGTGCCGGTGCCAACCACCACAAACTTGTTTTAAACTCTGGCATCTTTGAAAGTCTAAGATGCCTCAATTCTTGTAATGTATAACGAGTATGCCCACTACCTACAGCTCCCAAACAAAAAACAGCTTGTCCTTTATTCTAAAACCCCCCTTCCAAAGGCACCAGCAATCCTGGGAAATGTGCTTTCAATTACCAGCCTAAAGACTACAGGAGGAGAGGGGGAAAAATGTCTGCCTGATTTATTTAGTGCTCTGCGCAAGTTCTTCTCACCATCCATTCACTGAATCTATCAAGAAAACACTTCATCTCCTATCTCAGGCAGGAATGGCCAAAGGTCTGTACCCTGACACAATTAACCTCCTCTGGGTCTGGACAACCCTTGAGACCTGAGTGATACTGATAGATTGGACTGGGGGTTGGATGCCCTGACAAAACATTCTGACATAAGTGGGCTATGTCAAGTCTAACTGCTGATTAACAAGCTACCTGCTTAGAAGAAAAAGGCAACCATGGCCAAGAGTGAGCCACTGCTTCACTGTACACCTATTAATCCTGAATGACTGTACAAACACGGCTCGTTGCTCGCTGTTGACTGCCACCTCTCTAATCTTAGAATTTCAGTGGATCTACTTATACTGAGATACTTTTGACAGATGCAAAGACACATTATAATGCATCAACACACGCTCACATGCACACGCCTCTACCCCACAGGCTGAGGATGGAGGAGACTAGATCAGACCGGGCTGATTAACAACTCCTGAGAGTTGGTTGCCCAGCCAAGCTGTCTGCAGCCACAAACTCCCACAACCACAGGGATGCTAAACACACACACACACACACCATTCTTCACATCCAGCGTACTCGCTACAAACACAATGACTCAGACATGGAGGAACTTATTTTTCACCACAACCGAGGCATCCTCCTAGCGCAGAACTGCTGACACAAACTGGCTGCCTCAGAGTTAGCTGGGTGTATACCAAACTGTGAAGTGCTGCATGTGTGGCGCTTCACAAAAAGCAAAAGCATCTTCTGTCACTCTGCCACAGAAACTTTGATTTACAAGGCACAGGAGAGTGAGGAAGATTATGTGGCACTGTGAACGTCTGTTGGGTCAAAGCTCCATTGTGGATGGCCATCATTCAGATAACTGCAATAAAAATACTTCTAGGAATACTACTGAGTGGCTCAGCATAGTCGAGCACACACATTGTATAGATTATGCAGCTGAATGATGGAAGAGAACAGCCTTCAAAGTATAGACATGGCTAAACAGCAGATACTATTAAAAAGTAAACGATAATGGATGGTTAAGACACAATAATAATAATACAATAATCTTGAATGGCTAAAAGTTTTGAATATTTGAAAAATACACATCAACATTAAGGCTACACGGTTACATACCACCACAGGTGGATTGTTCCACTGCTCGTAAGTGCGAGCAGCATATGGGTAGATGCGGTCATTGATGATCTGGAGTGTAGTCAGGCCAATAGCCTTCATGGAGCTGAAGTAGGCTTCCCAGAACCAGCGTGCCTATGAACAAATGGAACAGAATTATTAAAATGCTGCACTGCACATTATCAAGTTAAACATTAACCAAATACACTCTCTCTATTGGATATTTGCATTGATTAATGAAAAAAAAAGGAAATGTCAATTTAGGAGTAACACACAATTATGGCACTTTCTACATCTGTACTGAAGACTATGATTATGTTCATGTAAACTACAATAATTGACCTTGAATAAGATAAGATTACATGATATGGCCAATACATGACAGAAGATAACACACCAGTGTGAAGTCATAACTGTAAAATCCAGATTTTCCCCCTCCGGTCCAAGTTTTAAAAGAACATTTTGCAGCGCTCTCCAGCCTCTTGACCTTCAACAACTCTTCTTCTGAAGCTCTCTAAAATCTCTTTTGACTGTGCCTGTTTTACTTCAACAGATCTCTGATGTGAAAAGCAGACTTTAATGATAACTGAACTCTTAACCCATAACTTAATGTTATCACGTTGGCTGCTGGAATACCCAACTCAAACTGCCCTCATTCACAGTTCACTTCACATAGTCTTTCACCCAAGACGGCAAAGATGAAAGAGAATACCTGTACATTGAATTTCTTTATTCAGATAGTTTGTTTAAGCTCTCAAAGTGTTATGGTCGAGATGTAGAGAAGAAGACATTTAAAGAAAAATCAATGCCACAGACCTGAAAAAAGGGTTCACCAACTCTTTTTCACTTTTTATACCATAAAACATAAAAATTAAAAGAGAATTTATTAATCTAGAGTAGTGCTACTGACCATGACATATGTGTCTAGCCTTCTTGCCTCCTGCTGGCCCCTACTCTATTAAGCAACTTCAAGGGACAGTCCAGAGGCAAGAGAACCCTATAAGAGTTAATGAAGCTTCAAACAACACTGTCTCCTGCTCCTGCCAGGAGGCACCCACAAGCTCCTCACTGACCCACAGTTCTGGGTAGAGGATGTGGATATTTGAGTGTTTGTGTGTGAAGCACTGAGCTATATCTTTATCTAGTCCTCCTACTGCAGTGCACCAGTGTGTATTATTGGCACCCCATGTTAAACAAAGACAGTCCATAGTGGCACGTGAACATGAGACCATTGCCTAAATCATTCATGTCTGAGTATGAGACGTAGGTTTGAAGATTTACAACAACACAAAAACAGTGCTTATTTTTATAGAGGGGCTGAGGAGAATCCAAAAAGACTTTCTAATCTCAGGGGGGAATCCCAACGGCCCATAAATCAGCCAGTGATGAAAGTTTCTTTTCTGACCGGGAGGAGGCAGAAAGCAAACTGTGCTGGCCCGAGGGCCCGTCCCACCACCCTCTCCCAGCGCCTGCAGGAATTTTTATGAGAAGGGAAGAAGAGACAACGTTGCAAGAGAAGAGAAATCCTTACTCCATCTTCTAACTGCAGCATCTACCCTATAGTCTACATTTTGTTTCTTTCTTCTACAAAAATGAACAAAGCTGTGAAGCAGTACAAATATAGCAACTGACTTACTCAGTCCATGAGCTAACCAAATTCATTTCACTAATAAAAAGAAAATTAAGTGTAATGTAAACTGTACCTATAAATCTGTTGCAAATTTTGAGAAATAAGGCAAACAATCCCAAGAGAGTCAAGTCCAAAATATATTCCTCTGTAAGTCAAATGTAACAGTCATCCGATGTAACGCTTGGTTAAAACTGAATGATCTTCTCATTTCCTTCTAGTTCAGAGCTACCCAGCAGCTCCCACTCTTATTTAAAATCGTAAAAATAAAGGCCAAAAGAGATAACCAGAACCAGTTTAGATTACATTAGTCAGCATAACTTTGTCAGTGCCTGACAGATGATTCAACGTATAGACCAGAATTGGCAGCCAGTGAGCTGTGGACAGAACCGGGCATTCATTAGTGTTTTTGACATAATCAAAAACAGCAGTGAAACCAAGTCTGTTTCATTCATGTGAGCTGCTCACTGAGAATATTGTTTTGCTCAAGATTTATTAGCACTTTACTTTTAACTGTGATCAAAACATTTTCGCACACACACAACACATTAATAACAATTACCTCGTATTCAGGTGTAAATCAGTCCTGATTAGAATGGGAAAAATAGAACTTTGGGTCTAGGGGATAAAGATCACTACTAAGCAGCCGGTTTCATGTTGTATTACACAGCCTTGGTGCTAGTGAGCCCCACGGTTCCCTGGTTTCCTACAGACTACCCCACTGACGGACCATAGTTTGTGTCGCTCTAAACATTCTACATCATCCTTTGTTCAAAATTTACACTTCAGATTTTATATTCAACTCTCGGCTGTAAAGTTTGTGACTGTGAGAAACGAGAAAAGGAATCTGATGGAAGACCTTGGCTGATCAGATCAAATCTGCAACTCTACATTGGTAAGACTCAGGAGATGTTTGATGAAATTTTGGCTGACCAGAAAGCAACTCACAACTTATCATCATCCCAGCTGGTATGAGGGGATGTATGTAAAAAAGAAGACTGGACTGAAGAAAATCAGACAGCATATAAGGTTGAGGAAAGTAGACTGACTTGACATATTCTATAAATCAACTACAGCCAGTGTACTGCTCTGCTCTGATGGTTGCCAGGTTGACAATACCAAGGCAATAGTAGAGGAAAGGATGATGATTAAGTTGAACTCCATCTTGGGCAACTCCTTTCTCCCATGTTATGTATTCTAATTTAATAACAGAATGGATTTGGTTGTGATAATCTAATAAAGGTCTGTAGTGTATGTGTCATATTTTGAGGCTATGACCCAAACAAGGCTCATGGAAGACAGTACACAAACATGGGCTCAGTGGTCTCACTTGAACAATGTTATCTCGCAGCTGTTTAGTATTTGGCCTTTTAAAATGTGACCTAAACGAATGCCATTACATCATCTCAAATTTGAAAATGAGTTCTACTGTCGGAACTGAGTCTGCTGACTACTGAGGGAAGCTCAACAGTAGTCTATCCAATTTGACCTTGCTCCTCAAGTTAACCAAATGTTGTGTGTAGATGTAAACTATTAGTATTTGTGTGAAATAAAAACACACTTGAGCTGCCAGAAAGAAAAGTGGTGAGTAATAATGACAACTAATTTTAAGGGCTTGGAGCAGCTGTTTTTTGTTTATATTTGGCCTCTGACTCTCAAAAGGACTAACCATAATTTATGTTGACAGAACATTAAACTATACTCAAGAAGTATAATATGCCTCTTTCATTATATGATATTTCCTTCAGGGTCAGTTTGCATTGTCTTTTCCTATTTATACATTTGTAAGCACAAAAGTCAAACAACATGGGATCATAGACAGACACACTATGAACGTAAAGGCTACTGAGCCCTCTGCTGGAAAAACTAATGAAATACATCAGCTCAATAACAAAAAAATAAATTATTTTCTTTCTGAGAATATCTGTTTTCTCAGGCTCTCAGCAAGCATAACATGTTTTTATTCAACTCGAGATTTATGCAGGTAAATCGACACTGAATGGACCCTTCCTACATATATCCATATCAAATTTTAATTCATTATTACATTTGTGTTCCTGGCCTGCAGTGTGCTCCAGTACTAGACATGTGTGTCCCACATCTGGAAAATACCAACACACAGTGCACTTAATCCACACTTGATGCACACTTTTCCTAATACTGCTTTGAAGCGGCATTCAGAGCTAAGTCTATCCCACAATTTACCATGATCTAGCGTGCCACACCTATTGGCACAATGAGCCTCTCAAAGTAGTTGGGAGATGCATTTTTGCCATCAGCCATCTGACCGCACAACGCCACAGCCCCCAGTATCTCCCACTTCTGCTGACTGAGACTGTTAACTATTAACCTGTTAAGCACAACTTTTTTTTTTTTTTGCACAATACCTTGAAACACTGCACATGCGCAGTTATCCATCCCCTTATCCAAACATCTTATCTTACCAGTGCATAGTTTGGTAGGACTGATAATAAGCAGCAGACATGAAGAAGTTAAAGTTCATCATATGTTTGATTCAGCTTGAATATTATTTTTTGTGTTCAAACACTCCAAAGTTATGGCTAAACACCCAGAGATGGTTATCACGTAAGATTAATCAGAATGATAAGAATAATATCACATATCTTACACTGTCAACATCAATATTAAATATCATATCCTTTAATTGAAGATTCTAAAAATATGTTCTGTGACTCAGACAAAAAACATTGAAATTAACATTATCATGTTATATTTCTTTTATGTACATTAGACCTACATCATTCTAGATAACTCAATTTTACAGTCATCTGATAAATGTAAATGTAAATGTAATACTGTATTGTTGATCCTATTTATTTGTTCCAACATATAACCTGAGCTTGATTGAATCATGTACAGTACTTGTATATGTATGAGTGATGAGATGTTCTTATAAATCCAGTGTGTCCCGTTGAGCTCTGATAAACGTCCACACGCTTGCCATCTCAACAGGGGGCACTATGGCAGTTTCTGGGAAAAAGGTCACACATGTGGGCACTTGACTTAACTAATTGCAAATACCGCAAGTGGAGACATTGGGACCGACCCATTATCTTCAAGAGCTAAATCCATAATGTGGCGTAAACAAGCCATTAACGTTTTTAGGTATTAAGTGCTCTGTAGGCCCATTAGGTACATTACTTTGCTCCTAGTAAAAATCCCCATAAACACAATCTATTTTATGCAGCATACTTATCAAATCGATCATCTAATGAGTGAGAAACCAAATACAAAAATGTGACAATTGATACAAATATGGTACTTGTGGCCAATCTCCCTTTCTGTGTTTACCAAGATAGGAGACAAGACAATACAGGATTTCTTCAAGATTCAATATGAAGTATTAAATGAAACATTTTTTTTAGCATTTAAAATTTTGAGAATACATTTTAGACGAGATTATTTGGACACAATTTTGATCCCCATTATGTTCCTACAATCGTTAACCATTGCTTATTGACAAAGTATGATTATTTCAATAATCATCAATTATTTTCACCAAATACATAGTAAAATTTACTTCAGCAGAGACATGTCTCAGACAAGAATCAACTTGCAACCAATTCAATTCATCTGTAGACCATCAGAGCAGAGCACTGTGGAGTGGACTATACACCCAACCCTCCCACCTCACAAGTCAGCCATGTTTTTGAGCTCGTCTGGTGAAATCCAACCCCAAGCCTGTCTCTGAGCCCTTGGCCTTTGTTTGGCCAGTATAATTAGTAAATGGACTAGAGTTGATACAAGGGAATGAGGAGCAGCTGAACCGGTGCACTTCTCTCATAGCTGCTTTCACTTTTGTTTATTGTGGCTCAATGTAGATATCAAATGGAAAGAGAGAAAGAGAGCTGTCTTCCATGCATTTCACTCAAGCTAAAATCAACATAGTTGAGTATTCCGAAAGCTTTTTAAAATCTAGACTGAGCATCGGAGGAAATTCAAACTTAGAAGAGTGAGGGTGGTGTCCAAATTTCTGTCTTTTGCACGTCACATAAAATTTGTTTTGGCTCCCATAGACTTGATTGATTGGTTGGTACAGGCAATGCTCTAACCCCAATGACGGCACCTCTGACCACCATGTCAATCTGAGTTCTAAGACCGCAACTACATTTTTAATAAGTTGCTCTGAACAAAGTTTTCTCTTCAGTTAGACAATGTGAACTTTACCTGTCTCTGCATCTCTTCAACTTGTCTGTGAGGAATGCTCTTTAGGATGGTGTACATCTCTGATAGCTTCTCCTCTGGAATAACAACAGATGCCCTGTGCAGAAACAGAAACATTAAATTTCTCAGCTGAAAAGAGCGTCAAACCAGTTACATGTTTTTCCAACTGCTCCGTGACTTAGGCAGACCTTTTCCAGTCAAGTACTTCGGAGAATGGCAGAATGTAGGAGTCAGCGAGGATGACGGGGACACAGCCAGCCTGCAGCACATCACTGAGGGCAGCCTGACCCAATCGTGCTCCCCGCAAAACCACACAGAATGAAGACTCCTGTAAAGAGATATTGGGAGCAAACTGTTAACAAACTAACTGAGACCAGGCAAGTAAGATGCTGAATGATAAAACACAAGCCTGTAGATCACAAGTCTCCAACATGGTGCCCGAGAGCACCTGGTAGTGAGCGAGTAGCCTATGAGGTCTCCATAGAGCATGCTCTGTAACATCAATCTTAATAATAAATAATATTTCTTTCCATAAAACTTACAAGGAAGCGTACTTGGGTTCCATTGTGTCAAAACACTGAAATAATTACTCATATATTTTTAATAATCTGAAAGTATATTAAGACTTTAATACATGTTCTGAGTTGAAACCATGCTTCCTTATTCTGTCCTCCTGCATTTGGCATTTATTCTGTGTCCCCCCATGTTCTTATGTCGAAGTGACTAATGGGGAAAACGAGTTTTGAATTTGCTCCAGTATTGAGTGACAAACCTGCAGGCTGCAGCTGCAAAATGGACTACAACGTAATCCTTACTCTCATACTCTACTGGACCAGATTCAAAACTTTAATCACTTTGACACAAAAACATGGGAAAATAAGGTCCAGGTTGACAAATACTAAAATTACCCTCTTAAGATAGTCTTTTTAAATAATTTGTTTTTAATGCAGTTGTGCTTCCCACCTGCAAAATCTGAGGGTAGTCATACACCTGCCCCTTGTAGCAGCGTTTTCGTGCAGAGGCGGCACCCTGGGAGAGGTTGCTACACTTGTCCAGGAGGAGCAGTGCCTCTCCATTTTCTTCCTTCAAGCGCTCCAGTTCAGCACGGTACTCTCGATGGATGGCAGTTTGAGATGACAGGATAAAGTAGCGCCGTGGCCTGAGGGAAGAGAAGGGAGATGTGCGACGGGCACACTTAATATCGTTGACTATAAGTAAATCCTTAATCAAGACTAACCTAAAGAGTGCTGATAAAGAGTATTGATAAGAGTCTTGTCTGTTTTATTTAGAAATCCATTCTAAATATCACATTTCATTATGTTCCCTTTGAGCAATGTCTGTGGATAAAGTGTTAATGGATAAATGAGATAAACTGACTGTAATTTGGTCAGGATGTGATACTCAAACAAGATAATGAGAGTTAATGTGTGAGATGTGCTCACCCAGGCTGTCTCTCAGGCAGCTCAACATCCGCAGAGAGGGGGCTGTACACTGGGATGCTGACATCATAACCTTGCCTGTAAGTCCATGTAGAGAAACCGCCTCCAGCCAGCAGCGCTCTGAAACAAATGGCCCTGGATTGTAACAATGCTTCAACACACTGGGGATTTCAACAGACATGAGCTACAGAGACACACTTTAAAAAACAAAATGTAATTCATTTGTTCTTTTGCTTCCTCTTAGCACTTTTGCGACCGACAATGCTGTGAGGCATGAAGTGACATCAAACAAGGCTTAGTGCACTGCTTAATAGATCCCATATAGTTCAAAAAAGTGATAAAATGTATTTCAGATTCTGTTATATTCTCAGGCAAGGTGAATATAAAGTGGAAACACACCGTCAGTCACACACACCTGGTTCTGATGAGGCGCCATGCCAAATGCACTCCAGCTGGATGAGCCCAGGAAATTCCTTGCGGCTAAAGATAGCGTTCATTGTCTCAAGGCTGCGTGTTCATAAACCCTACCTCTTCCATCCTCAACCATCACTCTAGCCTACAAGACATCTTGAGACACACAGGCTCTTTGCTGGTAAATACAACCAGATTTGAATCGTCTCCTCAAGGCCTCTTGAAAATATCTCCCAATTTGCTTGTAAATATATCTTTCATCCTCATCAAATGATCCATCTTAACACTTTGTGAGTGACTGCACTTATGGTAAATGCTACTCAAGGTTGCATCATCCATTGTAGCATGAAAGTGATTTTCCTCTGTTCCAGAAACAGAATATACATAAACAAGAAATGATGTATACTTTTGATTTGTGCCCACTAGAGGAAGGTTGCTGACATGAATCTTGACAACATGCTTCCCTCCTGTCTGGTTTTATATGAAGCAATTTTAGATTTTTAGGCAGTAGATGTCTAACGATGACTTTTACCTTTTATCTACATTTCCAGCCTGATAACTACAAAGAACCAGCCATGTACTTAAATCAACTGTGTCATTTAAACATTATTGGTAAATTTAGGTTTCACAATGTTTCAGATTACCATTAACTCATTCTTAAACATTAAAATGGCTTGTAAGATGTAGCTACCTGTCTCTGGGCACATCCAAGGCAGTATTGTAGTCTGGAGGGCCTCCAGGTAACATGTTGAAAAGTAGGTGATTCATCCCTTTGTCCCATCTAACAAAACATATATAGGATTAGTGATTGAACAACAGAAAATCCAATAATCTCAATGCCATACCACTAAAAGTTTTTAAGTTGGCCACACAGGCTCTTGTGAAATGTCTATCTATGGTGGCCACTGGTCGTTATTTCTTCCATTTTAGGACGGAAATGATTCATCAATATATTATTTGGTATTTAAACATTAAGTGTTAGTTTCCAATCAACACGACATAAATGGTTAAGTGACCACATTTGTGCTTTAACATCAATATCAGATACTGTATGACAGCAATGTGAGAAGAAAAAAAAACAGCCGAGTGACAAAGCAAACTCTACTACACAGTTAATGATGATAAAGGTTTACCTGGGTAGCATTGCCAGAGCCTGGGCAGTCTCTCTAATACGAAGTGAGTTCTGATTCAGCACGTCAACAGACGGGATGAACAGACACGCTCTGGTGACGTCATCAGTGTAAAAGTCACTGTCAGAGATGGCACTGAGCAGATCATTGTATTCTCGAGACAGCCCAGTGCTGCTGATAGGAACCCCCAGTTCATCCACAAACTTCTGCAGAGGGTAGATGTAAACCTAGAAAAGCAACCAGTCCAACAAGGGGTCATAATTTCAACGAGGAACGCTGAAAAAACATTGAGAGGACTTGCTCAGCGATGTGAGGGGACGCTATGAGAGGCAGTTACCTTGATTCTGTTTTTAGGATTGTAGCCACATCTGTACACATCAAAACAGGTGTGCATGCGACAGCTGAGGTCACCCCTCTCAGGAATGGGGCTGGAGACGGGCAGGCGGACCACAGGTGCATCGTGGACACTGCGTTTGTCAAGGGTCCAGTCAGCTGCGGACTCAATGGAGTGGGGCCAGAACTGAAACATCCCGGTGGCAATGAGTCCAAGCAGAACCACAGAGAAGAGGGTGATGTAGTATATACGGTGCTTGGTCTTCATCCGCGGGATAAGAGCGGGGCCCCGAGAGCTGTATTTCCCAGAGGCATACATGCCTGACACCTCTCTCTCTCTCTCTCTCTGCAACCAGCCACTGTAAAGACAGATTTCTGATCAATGACAGCTCTGGGTACTGTTTATACACACTGAAGTACAGTCACAACCTTACTGCAGAGGATAACACACAGGTCACAGGTCGCCCAAATGTCAGTATTTTAATTGTAAAGAGTGCAGTGAATAGGTTAGCCTTTATAAACACTCGTGATACTGATAACATGATACTGATAAATTGCATACTGAATAATATGATGACTGAAATAATATGATACTGATAACATGATACTGATCTGTTAACTTAACGAGCCAAGTTGTCAACCACCTACAAAACAGACAAAAAGACATGAAAGCGAGCGAGGAAATTCAAATGTTGAGCTAGATAACAACGTCAACATGCACTGCCACAGAGCTGCGAGGTGAGTTACAGCTGTTTCGTCTTAAAAATGAATTGGAAAGATACCAATAAACTGATATAGTTACATCCCAGCTGTGAAACCACTGAGCCCTACCGTTAGCTCCGCTAAGTCAGTCGGCATCGTAAAGGTTATAAAACCATTATATAACATGTTCAAAGTTATATTGTATTGTTTTGACCCACCGAGACGTTTAACAGGTAGCGGGGAAATCGACGTTCGGTCTTAATTCCATGGCAAAGTTTAAGACAACAGCCCTTACACCTTCCTAGGTACACTCTATGTGACCTACGCACCAAGCTAACGTCTACTGCTCCGGGAAGTCATGATTTCCCGGAAAGTCATTCTTCTTTGTGTGTGACATTTGTGACTCAGGAGGTAATAAGATCTTGCCCTTCTCTCTGGTGGGCTGCAGGTACACTGGCACGACTCCTTAAGCAATACAAACATTTTAGGTACCAATGTTTAATTCATGGACTAAGCCCTACACATTCATTCTTGAGATGTAAATCCTGAAATCCTTGAGCAAAAAAAAAAAATCTTAATCTACTAATCTACTACTTTCTCTTGAGCTCACCACGTTCTTCTGCACAGCTTTCCTCTTATCTTAATCAAACATGTCATATCTAATTTTTATTAATTAGTTGGAAAGTTACATTTTATTAATAGCTATATGTTTTTATCATTCGTTGTGTGATTTGAATAACTTGTATTATTATCTTAAAGGCTTAGTATACTTGGCTGGTATAGGAGGAGGGTTATCTACACAAACTGCAAACCAGGTCCATTCCTCGTAGGCGTAAAAAACTACTTGGCAATAAACAAAATTCTGATTCTGATTCTTTTGAAATCGTCAACTACCCACTGATTTTGTAATTTTTAGAATAAGAATGATCAGTTGTACATTTATTCTAAACTTTAAGGATAACTTTTGATAATAACCTTTGAGGTGAACCATCTTGTTTTTGAGGCGGTCATTCATAAAATCCTTTTCCTGTGTTATTTTATTGGAAGTCAGCCAGTGTATATTGTCAGTATATATTAAGTGTATTACGTATAAATAACTCCAAATACAGCATACATTAGCTGCAGTAAAACTTGGTACCGCAGTATAAATCATATAACATCATTATAGTTTAAGTAGGTATTACTAAACAGCACTGTCTTAGGTTGGGGAGTGAGCACAGATTTCACAAATAGCCTATGGTTGGTATGAAAGTACTTAAACGCAACAATTATCTACACAATACAATAAATACATTAATAAAATGCCCACAGGCTATTTTGAGTTTTTAGTGTATATTTGCTTAAATTATACATTTTAGAGCTCAGTGTACTTCACTGGCCAACTCTAGGTAGTTTAACTTTGTGAGACAGATCCAAGGTGCGTCACTGGTGTTATCAGACACCTCCCGTCCACACAATGTCATTTAACTCATGACACCTCCATAAGGCTCAACAGTAGATTCTGATCTCCATCCAACCTACCGTACACTCATCATACACTGCACCTACACTTAGGCTTAAATATAGCTCCAAACAACTCATGCCATCTTCACTCAAAATCCATCTGCACTCAGCAGTTCCAAAACTGATGACACATGCTTTACATCAAATTTAAAGGCTTAACTTTTTCAGGATGGGTTCATCTGGCATGTATTCAGGGAATTTGGCATCAAAAGTCATTAGCTTAAAAGTATTAGCTTTCACAAACAGCCAAGTCTGTTAATCTGAGTAATTCTTTGCCTAAATGTCCCTACAACATACATTATCTTTTAGGAGAAAGTCAACAGAGCCTTGATTGCTCTCGTTTATACTCCAATTATGCTCTTCATAATATACTGATCCTAAACTGTTTCATAAAATGTTGCAGCAGTAAAAAGGAAAACAAGCTGAAAACTTGGACATGAACTACAATTTGTGGCTCATTTAAATAAAAGTAATCAAAACACTGACAACGGTAAAGCAGTGATACATGCTGAAAGAAATGTAACAGGAACTCAGTTATTTTCATAGTTTGCAGTTTATTCCATTACAGGCAGGGCAGTGAGGGGGAGGGATTAAATACATTCTCATTGTGGGACAGGAGAGGAAGGGAAGCAAACCAGGTAAACATGGACAAGACATAGTTGAATTATTCCTTTCAATATAGACCAATTTGTAAATCTGCCAATAGTTTGAATAAATAACTTTCAGATGAAATATCTTTTTTCTATATGTCAATACTGATATCTTTTAATATAGTCATTATCTCCTTATTGTTATATAGTTTCTACATGACTCTATTGGAATCATTTTTTTTAGACATCTGCATAAATAGTTACACATAGAAGATGGTGCTGTACACATCATGGTGGAAAGTATTATAGTGCTTACCTTCAGCAGTGTTTAGTGTATGACCGGCTGCAAGCAAAGCTACTGAACGTAGGAAATTGCTGGCCCAACCTTGGTGTATTTTGTGAGAGACTACTGGGACTGGCAGCAACATTTGAGTAGTGTCAGACTGTAAACTGGCTGGAACAATCTGCTGTGAGTAACCACAGCAAATCTTATTCCAAATAGAGAGAGTGTGCAGATCACTATGGTGACTCCGGGCATGATGGTGGCGCTGCACCAAAGGTCATTGTGAGCAGGCTGTCACTCTGCAGCATGTCTCACCACTATGAAACGTTTGTAAAAAGAGCATATTGTCACCATGCCATGGCAGAATGTCAAATACTTTTCCACTCGGACAGAAAAAAAGCTGAAATATATAACTCCTTACGTTTGGGAAGGTCTAAAAAGTTCTCCACACTGTCCCAAAAACTGAGATAAAAACCACTGACATCAAACCAATCTGTTGCAAGAGCAATAAGGATAATAATACCATCAAATATAGCAATAAAAGTGATAACAACATTAACGGTAATAAATAATGCAAATTGTGAGCCACCTGTTAACACCCAGAGTGATATGGAAGATCGTATGCCCCATACAGTATTTAGAATTGGCATACGTAATGTTCCAGCCCATTTATTCATTCAGTCCAACCTCAAGGATGTTTCAGATGAACCACATTAAAGGGAAGCAAACACCTTGACGTCCAAGATGACTGAGAGCACCTTGAGAACAAGAGAAATTATATCTTGGGACACTTTTAGAATACACAGTTTGGTCCTGTCTGATGACCTGGGCCTTTAAAAAAAGCCTCTAAAAAGGTTTGAGTTTACATATGCTATCATTTCTGGACATGTTTAGAGCTTATTTACTGTGACTTAATGACAAGACTTGTTCTATACCAGCCATGCTACTCTGAAATGCATTAAGCATGCAGACCCTGACCTGGGCACATTGCTAAGAGCTCTCCAAAGAGGAAAGGTACAGTAGTTATGAGACTAGGACAACTATTAGCAAGTTCATTATTGGTTCAAACCCAAGGTACAGAGGTTGAGATGAAAGCCATGGCAGTGTTTTAAGGTCAGGATGACATCTTTTCTGTGGTGTTGCTGTGTAACAGTCGATATGGGAACCAACAGAATGGCTAGGGAAGGAGATAATGAACTTAGCTTATGTTTAAATAAAGCAATATCCATATACATATACAAAATTACATCTCATAAATACATTTGGCAATACAATTTATTAAATTTTTTGGCAAGGGGGGGAGGGGGGGGGGGATAAATTGAGCAATATAATGATGTGTGCAAGAGTATCCAAATGTCAATCTAAGTGGCTTATTGACAAATTCTCTTTAAAAATAAAGAAAAAAAAACTTCTTCATGCACTATAAAGAGTAACCAAAAGACTCAAAAACATCCATAGGCGTCAGTAATAACTTTGTCACAATCACTACATTTTTAAGACACATGAATTCTTACCAATGTAACACACTTACTCTCTTTCTGAAAGTCAATTCTTTATAGACCTGAGGAACATTTGGTAATGTCTTCTCACCTCTATTGATTGACGAATATGTCCATCTTCACATTCCTGATTTTTAAAAATAAAAATAAAATAAAAGCTGGAGCTGCTGAGGGTGCAGGAAGTTGTACAGTACATCAACCCAGATGATGTGCCTATGCTAACCTCTTCTACAGTGTTTTTGAATCCCTGCTCAGTTAACTGTTCTCCCTTTGATTTTGTTAAGTCAAGGAATTGGTGTAATGCTGACGCGTCCCTACGTGGGTGAGACGACATTGTTTTGGAATGGCATTGTGAAGCTACAGTTTATTTATATTCACCCAAAAGCAGTACAGCCCCCTGGCATGCAGAGAGAGGTATCTTTTTTTTTTCTTAGTCATTGCAATAGTGTGAAAATGCTATAAACAGCGTTCGAGGGAGACACCTGAAGAATGGAAATAGTTTGCGAGTTGGTCCGTCAAGTTCTGTTATTGGATCTCTGATGAGTGACTGCATTCCATCGCATGCATGTACTGTGATATGTTTTAAAATTTTGATGACTGCACCTCTCAATTTAGAGCAAAGGACCATTGGAGTCTTGGCAACACACTACACCATAGACGATAGTGTGTTCTCTTCAGGACAGTGGCATGGGGGAGATGTTCGTAGGGAGTGTATGGCTGGCAGGGCACCCTCACCGGGGGAAAGGTCGTTGAGCTCCTCAGACGACGAGAGAGGGAAGGAGGGTGACAAAGAGATGCCCGAAGAGGGGTCAGCAGATCCAGCAAAAGTGCGTGGGGGCTTTGGGACTAGGTTAGGCTCTAGTGTTGCTCTGGCCAGAAGTTGTTTGTCATCCAACTGCTGTCCATCTCCGAGACATTCACCCTGCCCAAAAGAGCCCCGGCCTGACTCTGACTCCCCGTCGGAAAGCTCCAGAGGCGGTGAGCTGCTGCCGTCCAATCTGAATAGAGAGTCTAAGTACTGGGCAAACTCCAGCACTGCCTGGCTGGGATTCCCATTGGATAGTTGGGGTGGAGGAGTAGAAGCTGCCGGTCTGGTCTCTTCGCTTAACTGGTTCTCTGCTGTGTCCAGCTCCCAATCTTCCTTTTCTCTATCCATTGGTCTAGAACCAATTTGCGGACTGAGGGGAGCATTGGGAGTGCTCCCTGGGCTGTAGACACCAGGCATCTCTTGGTGTTCCCCATCAGGAAGCATTTTTGGGTTGGCGTTAAGCTCTGGTTTGAAAGGCTGAGCCAAGACGCTCTGATTTAGCAGAGCTGGGGAATGGTGTCCACTGTAACGAGGTGTGGCGGGAGAAAGCCGCATGGGGTAATCCGGGGTGGATCTGGATTCCAGTGGGGTAAAGAAGGG